CGCCCATCCCAGTGAGATCTTGCCCTAAAGAAGAATGTAAGTACCATTTAAAAATTTTAATGAACGCTCAACTCCATTTGAGAAAGAATTGAAAATTTTGCACTAGAAAAGAATTTGTGTAGAACAGGAACGACCCAGCCAAAAATCCGTGCTTTATCAACATATTGAAGTGCTGAAAGTGATCTATTCATTTTTACGTCGAAATGTTTCCTGTTGACAGTATATCCATCAAATGCTCACTCATGCAACCTATTTACCACTTCTTGAAGATTGCACGAGCAATGCTGGTTATCCGGTATTGCATGGATCAAGACGGTCATATGTCCACTGCAATCGCATCTCTGGTGACTTCTCAATTTGTAGTCGTTGCTGTCAACGTTGGGTATCTGTAACAAGACAGTGCAAATATTCAGTAAGTAGTTCAGTTATTCGATTAATACAAGTTGTTAAGCGCTCTTCTTGAGCAGCTGTGGGGAGTTGATGCTATTTTACTGTCATTCTTGGATTATGTCACGACGTTTCAAAAGCACAAAATGAATGAGCAATATTTCAGGTTCGTGCACGTGTACGTAATGGAGTGTGCAATTGTTGTATCGGAGGATAACGAAAAAATTCCATCGATATGCTCCAATGATTGTGTTATTGTTCTAGAATAAAACCAATTTTTTACAACTAGCCTTCAAGTTCTGTGTGAGATATCATATTTTGTTCATCATTCCTATTGTGAAAAGCAATAAACAAGGATTTCAATACCTTGCAAACACCTTTACATCGAAAATCGATATTTTTCTCATCTGTTACAGAAGAGATTCACAAAATAATCTCCAACATTCACTGCAACCTAGCTGAATAACTATCATGAATCATTTGTTGACACGCAAAAGTCATTCTACAATGAGGAGGAATACGATGTATGAAAATTATCATTCAATTAACCTGTCCTGTTCTTTTTCTCTTTGTTATTGTTTATTTCTTTATTTTCTTTAAAAACGATAGGTTGTTTCAGCAAGAGCATTATTTGCACATCAACTTATTGCTGTTATATGGTATGTGCTGAATGACTTTCACAGCAGCATCCGGATTTCCTTTGATCAGTCGATTGTAAAATGAATGTTGCGAACCAAAGAACACATTATCGGAATAATCACTAGCCTAAACAACAGTCACATCCTAGCCGTGTTACACGACTGAACGTTTTTGCCTGAAGAATACCTCACTTCAACAAAAAGTCATTAATATCATGTTTGGAAACCAATTTGAAAGTTTTCTTTTTCTGGAGGATGAAGGCATTTTTTCCATGCCAAAATCCTTGACAATTACTGAACAAAAAATAATAAACAAATTTTTCGTGACTTCAGTCAGGACACTATCCGTTCACAAGAATTACAGTGATAGGGTATCACGTCAGAGAGTTGCACAAGTCAAGTCGCTGAAGCAGATCGCTGCATTTTGATGACGTGTTTGCGTGAAATATTTCCGAAGTGTTGTATAATTCCGTCCCATTGAATTTTCTGTGATTCTCGCCGACGACATTTTACGGCAATTGATAAAATTCGCGGAAAACTGTTGTTTTGGAATGCGATTGCTGCCTGATGCTCTCTCGGTGATAGCGGTTCAACGTTCACGCCTTTCTGTAGGTTATATCTGATTGATTGATGAGGATGCCTTGTCTGATATCGACAAGGCTGCATGTTAGAATGAGTGCTCACTTAGCTATCAATTTACTCAGAGAACTGCATTGATTGGATGTGGCCGACTGGTTAGAGTACTGTATTCACTCAATTTGATGAAAATATGACCGGTATTACACATTCCGTCCGCATCGATAGGAGTGAGTGTCAAATTTCACACTGAAACAGTTTTTGCCTACCTCTCAATGTGCGTACATATCGATTGAAAGAAGACTTCTAGAATTTCGTAATTCTTTACAACGTTTGAGCACTATCGGATCTAAACTAAGCACTACTTTTGGCCGCTCCTCACGGAATCCAAACAAATATGGTGCGTACGGACGGTAACGACGACTAATCGTTAAGAAGAACGTTAAATGTCCTTCGTTCTTCCCTCAAAAGTTTCACCTAAATGTTCGAGAGAAGGATAGGAAGGA